GAGGAGCCGCGCCGCCGTCGCCCAGTCCCCACGCCGGCCCCCGGGGCCTCAGCGCCAACGCCTTGCCCTTTCCGCGGCTACCCAGAGGGACGGAAGGCTGCTCGCCTCTCGCCCTGGTGGTGGTTTGTGGGATCACAGTACAGCTGATCATGGCTTGGACACAAGGGTTGGTGAAGTACGGACTTGGAATGTAAGGTTTGAAAATACAGAGAATGTGCTTTAGGAAGAAAAAATCCTGGCAAGTTCAAGGTCAGCCTGGGGAACTTAGGGAGACCCTATTTCAAAACGATAAGGTTGGGATATTGCTTAGTGATAAGTGCTTACCTGGCCTGTGTGAGGCTGTGCCTTCCATCACCAGTGGTTTACCTCCCTCCCAGAAGAGTGGGGAAATAAGTAAAGACTTAATGGGTTAATTTTAAAACCTACTGGTAAACGGGGCATGGTGGCGCACACCTGTAATCCCAGCACTCGGGAGGCTGAGGCAGGAGGATCATTTCTAGTTCAAGACCAACCTGGGCTACAAAGTGAGCTCAAGGCCGGCCTGAACTGTACAGTGAGATCCTGTCTCAAAAATACCAAAAAAAAAAAAAAAGAAAAAGAGAAAAAGCTACTGGTGGGTAGTAGACCCTGCCTGATTACAAAGCAGAATGAGTAGTGGCTTTAAAAAAATAAACAGTGTACTATCATTTAATTGACCTCATATACCAGAATTCAGATTGTTTGTTGAATACTTCCAGTTTAAGTAAAATTGACTTGTAGGTTTATTTTTGTTGTTGTTACCTGAACCCGAACTCAGCACCTTATGCATGTCAGGCGGGCACTGTGACACTGAGCTGTATCTCTGGCCCTTGACTTGTAGTTAAGATCATGTAAAATTTTTTTGATACTAATCTCACTTCATTAAATATCATTAGAGGGCTGGAGATATAGCTCAGCAGCTCAAGTCCCTGATTAGCAAGTAAGGTCATGAGTTTGATTCCCAGTACCAAAAAAAAAAAAAGAATAAGCACCATTATAGTTTTCCTTTTCTAAAGATCTGATTGTATTTGGTTATTAATGTTAAATTTCACAAAGATAGGTCATGTCATCACAACACCTAATGACAGTTTTATATTTAGATTTATATAACTTTATGTAAACAGGTTTAGATACTAGTTAAACCCTTTCAGTACCTCAGAACTGAACAACACTCTTGTATTTCAATTTCGGTTCATTAGCCTGTTAATGCACGAAGATAAGGAAGCAATGTCTACCTGATATTTTTGGCCTTGGCTGCCAATTTAATTAGAATTTTCTGTATCTGAAATAATGCCTTTTACTTAAAGGCATTTTAGTGTAGTTTACAATATCAAAGAATAGCAGTTCTCATATTTTATAGCTTTTAAAATTTTAAAATATTTTTTATTAGTACATTTGCTGTACATAATATTTACATTCTTGGTGGGGAGTTGGTATATGTACATAAAACATATTAATTCTTTTTAACCCCCCGACAGAAGATCTATCTCCATTTCCTATTATGTTTTATTTTCCTCTTTATACTTTGAATTTCTCATATGAGAGAAATTGTGATATTTAAACTTGTGTGTATGTGTTATTTCATTTCACATTGTTGTTTCAAGGTGCATCCATTTTCCTACAAATGAATCAAATTTACTCTTTATGGCAGAGTAGTACTCCATGGTGTATTATCCATTCATCTATATATAGGTTGCTTCCAAGATTTAGTTACTATGAAGTGTGCTGCTATATACCTATTTATGCAGGACTTTTAGAAATATACCTAGAAGGGAAATAGCTGACTTGGATGGAATTTAGTTTTTGAGAAATCCTCTGAGTAGCTGGCAAAAATGTTTTCACTTTCTCCAGGTTGTCTCTTCATTCTGTTGATTGTTTCCTTTGGTATTTTATAGTAGACAAATAAGTTCAGAAGCGTCTAAAGTCAGCATGATGAATAGCAATACACATTTAGACTTGACTTTTTGAATTTTTTTTTCTTTTTGAGGCATATCTTACTTTTCTCATTTCTGAGAAAATATCCAACACCCAAAGTTAAAAAAGAAAGGTTTATTTTGGCTTACAGTATGTAGAGGATTCAATCCATAGTCACCTGGCTCCAAGGCAGGTGACATGGCAGAGGGTCATCACAGAGGAACAAGAGTCTGTGGCAAAGCAGGGCAGGCAGAAAGTAGCCAACACTGAAATAACAAGCAACAAGTAAAAAAGTAAGCTCCACAGCAGCCCTGTTTCTGTCTTATATTCTACAGGCTATTGCCCTTAGGGTGGGTACTACTGAGGCCCAGAGTGGACCTTCCCATTATCTACACCCTGAACTATGCCAAAACAATCAGTGGACTAATTTAGTAATCACACACTGTTGATCCAGCATCACACACTTTATCCCAGCGTTATACAGTCTAGATTCAGCCACCTATGAAAAGCCTCAACTATGATCCCTTTAGGCTTTGGGGGAATATTTAGACACAAGCTATAATGGCGTATTTTTCTCAGTATCATACAGAACCTTTTTTCAAAATGGAACATATTTTAGGCCTTAAAGCATGCCTAAATGAATGCAAAGGAATTTACATAATCCCCTGCATACTATCAAATCATAGTGGAATGAAGCTTGAAATTAATAGCAAAAGAGACTACAGATTACACAAACGGGATATATAAAAGATCAATTAATCAAAAAACAGTTCTTTGAGAAGATAAACAAGATTGATAAACCCTTTTTGGTAAGCCAAACTTATGAAAAAAAGGAAAGAAAAAGCATGTATTAACACAATTAGGAATGAAAAAGGCAAACTCAACATCTAGAGGCTTATAAGAAACTGCTTCAAGCTGGGCTTGGTGTTGCATGCTTGTAATCCCAGCACTCAGGAGACTGAGGCAGGAGGATCGTTGCGAGTTTGAGACCAGCCTGGGCTACAAAGTGAGCTCAAGACTAGTTTGAACTGCATAGTGAGACCCTGTCTTAAACCAAAAAAAAAAAAAAAGAAACTACTTCAAAAATATCTTCCAATAAATTTGAAATGTGGAAGAAATGGAGAAATTTTTAGGCACATACAAATTACCACAATTGCACCAAGAAGATAAAAATTCTTAAGGGCCAATAATATGCAACAAAGTAGAGACTGGATATACCACAAACAAAAACCCAGGGTTCACCACAGAATTCACCACAAAAAACAATGGATTCACCACAGAATTCTACCAAAACTTCAGGGAAGGTCTAATACCAATACTCTGCAAATGCTTCATGGAAACTGAAAGTGAAAGGAGTACTGCCACACTCATTTCTGGAAGTCAGTGTCACGCTTATAGCAAAAGTGGGTAAGAACCAACAACAAAAAAGAGAA